ATTACGGAGTTCTTTTTGGTTTGAATTTACTGTCAGCAAGTCTATTTCATTTTACAATAACTTGAAAAGCTATTTTTAAAAGGTGAAGAAGAAAATGGAGAATTGGGGCAGAATTGGATGACCATGGCAGTTTAATATAAAGCCACAGTACGCACAGTAACATACGAACTGGAATGACCATCACGGTAACACTCATCGTACTGACAGTTAACAGCCCCTCCATGTTCACAGCAGTGTTATTTACAAAAGCCAAGACATGAAAAACAACCAAAGTGTTCTTTGATGAAAGAATAGATAAAAAATGTAATATATATACACTTGATATATATATTACATTATATATATATTACATTTCTAGATATGTAATATATATAAATGTAGTATATATCCATATATACAATGGAATATTAGCCATAAAGAGGAATGAAATCTTGCCATTTGCAACAACAATGGATAGAACTTGAGGGCAGTATGTTCAGTGAAATAAGTCAAAAGACAGAGAAAGACAAAATACCATATGACCTCATATGTGAAATCTAACAAAATGAAAAGCAAAAAACAAGCTCATAAATACACAGAACAGATTGGTGGCTGCCAAAAGTTACAAACTTTCAGTTATACCATAAATAAGTCCTGGGGATGTGATGCACAGTGTGGCGACCACAGTTAACAATACTGTATTGCACATCGGGAAGCGTCTGAAAGGGTAGGCCTTACAAGTTCTCATCACACAGTCTGCACCTAACAGATGGTGCTGGATGTCAGCCAAACGTATGACCATTTCACAACATACACAACTATCGAACCATGCCGTGCATCCTGACTCTAACAGAATTGTGTACGTGAATTATAACTTAAGTTTTAAAAAGTTAATAAATTTAAGGTTTTATTTAAATAAATACAATGGAAATGGATCATATGTCAAAAGAGATTAACTTGGAAATATTTCACAGTATATTGGTAAGTAAAACAAAAGCTAACTACATATACATTAGTTTTAGACATATTTTGGATATATATATACACATGTTTTAGATATATACATATATATCCATGTTTTGGATACATGTATAGATATCTAATGGATATATGGATAAATATATATATGAAAAGAAGTCCAGAAAGGTACATGCCAAAATGTACATTGCAGTAACTGGTGATTCTTATTTTCCTTTCCTATATTTTAAAATATTTCTACAATGAACAAGTATTATTTATGTATTTTTTAAAGATTTTATTTATCTATCTTGAGAGGGGAAGGGAAGGAGGGAGGGAGAGAAATATCAATATATGGTTGCCTCTCATACGTCCCCTGCTGGAAACTGGCCTGCAACCCAGGCATGTGCCCCGACTGGGAATCAAACCGCAATCCTTTGGTTTGCGGGCCCGCGCTCAATCCACTGGGCTACACCAGCCAGGGATATTTATGTATTTTTTAAGTTTTAAAAATATTCCTTATAGATCTTTCAGATTTGAAAACACTGAAAATGCTTACAACACTAATCTGAGAAAAACAAAGGGTGAGAATCTTGACCATTTCCGCCAGCATTGAATTTCCCACCAGAGACCCCCTGCCAGCCTCTGCAGCCAGGCGCAGCCTGCTGTATACAGCTGAATGCCACACCAGCACAAAACAGGCTCAGGAAACTCAAGGTGCCTATTCTGATTTTGTGTCCTGAGATGGACGAGGTTATAAAACATACTGGCTCAGGTTACAGGCTGAGCATGACAAGTCCGTCTGGTACAACCTCACAAAGGAATTTACACAGAATGAGAAATGAACACATCTCATTTCCCAGGGTAGAATCGATTACAAACGCAAAGACCCATGCAGGGTTAAGTCCTTGCCTGTCACTGTCCCGCATGCTTCTGAATTACGCCTCACATGCATTGCTCACGTCAGGATTGACCTATAACCATATTTTTTAAAGGTGATTTTTTTTTACTTTAAAATCACTTTAAAAAGTGAATATCTACTATGTCCTATCTTAAACTAAGATAATCTATTATTTTTAAAAGGTAAATGGAGAGGGAAGTGAGGAAGAATGCCTTTTAACAGAGTCAAACTTTTTGTATATTTTCAGGTGAACCGGGAGAGGCCAGACCAACCCACCTCCCTCCCCTCCCCTCTCCCTCCCTCCCTCCTCTGATCATTGTGGCTGATAACAATAGTTTTTCTCTCCCTGGTAATGTAGATGACACATTTTTCCTGTAGCCTGTCTTCCTGTAAAGTGCAGGAATTCCTGCACTTTCTGGGTGCCCTTCCTGTTAACTTACATTTCAGATTTCCTCAAAAGGCATTCTACCGCTTTAATATTTGAAAAATGTCAGCTCAACCCCAGACAGCTAATATCAACAAGCTGAAAAGCATACCACCTAAAGTTACAACAGTGGAACACAAAATTTCTTTTTAAGAAATTCTTTCTCGGAATCTTGCTGTTCGTTAGGCTGGAAAGAAGCAACCCAGTCCTTCCAGCTCCCAGGGAGTCTGTAATTCTTTTGCCTGTGCTGTGCCTTAAATTAGAGGTCTGTAAAACCGAATTATAGTGATCTAGAAAGTTCGTAAAGGTCCTTGAATTGAACATGTTGTTAAATGCTTCAGTGCTAAGAGGTTGCATCCACCTTTCACTTTTCCTCCCATTTCATTTGGTTCTTCTAGCATGACAAAGAAGTTTTGGTACTGCAAAAAATGTCTTGGCCATTTGAGAATACGTAGCCGAATTAGGCCAATTCCACATTTAAAGTCCAGGCCAGGCTCCTTTGCCATTTCTGAAATGATCACCTACTTCTTTCTGTCCATAATTTTCCTTTTGGCCAGGAACCCCATGTTCACACCAGACGCACCTTCCAAATGGGACCCAATTAAGAAAACTTACTGATTTATTATGGGAATGCCCCTAATGGAAGCATTCCACGCTAATACATCCACAACATGAAATTAACCATAACAAAGGTTAACTTCCCAACTCAAAAACTTGCTCTACTAGGAGGGAGCTACCTTAGGAGTATATCCAAAAAAAAAAAAATGCAAATAGGAACCTGATTTAATTTAGACCCTAAGGTCCAAAGATAAGACCTCTATAACAACACCTTTCTCATGAAACTTTCCTGACTATCTACCAGAGAGAAACTCATTTGTATCTTTAAACTCCAACTTTGCCTTTTCTCTTCACTATCTATGCAATTACCCAGCATTATAATGACTTGCTTTCTTTCACCAACCACATGGTAAGTTCCCTGATGCAAATGACTACATTTTAAATATTTTTCTATGCACCGAAATCCTATGCAGTATGGGGATATATATATATATATGTGCGTGTGTATAGATGCACACACACATACACACATACATACACACATACACATACATATATGTCATAATATGTATATACAATATATTAAACTGAACTGAATGAGTGAATATATACCCAATACAAACTAATTAGATGCCATCTCTTTAATACATCGAAGCACGGAATGCCCCTGGTAAGCTGTTTCTTCTCTGCTCAATTAGACTGTAGATCTCCCCTATATTAAGGAACCTAGGTATCTCATGATGCCAATTCCTGGGTTCTTCAGCCCCCAGGTTTTTAGATTTCATGCTTCCCTAACACTCAGAGAAAAGCTGAGCCCCACCTCCAACTATATGTATCACTTTCTTTAGAATATATGTCACTTTCTTTGGGGGCTGAGATGTATTATGTCCAGCTAGTAGAATTAAAAAGTGGTGCAACGACTCTCAAAAAAGTGGCAGAAAGCTTATGAGAAACTTAAGTTTCACCAGGTCTTCACCTACAGCCTTACAATGGATATACTTACTTATGTAGTGCCCCAGGTAAGCCTAACTCACCTAGTGGTTAACTTGCCTCTTCCATGCATACATGCTCCTTTGGCAAACGCCTTCTCTATGGTGAAGGATTTGTTCTGAAACAAGTGAGCGACTTAGGGTCCTACAGGACCTGACAGCAAGCACTACCTCAGCTCTCTGATGCCATGTCAGAAATTTTATTTTTTTAGCCCCCTCCCCAGCACGGTATTAGGCTTCCAAAATACAACTGTGTGAAAAAAAAAAAAAAGAAAACAAAAAAAGTAAGGAAAACCATAATCTTGAACTTCTTACCTATTATAGCCAACTAAATATATGCAATCGCATGTAAAAGACTTCATTATGGTTGCTAATGAAACAGGACAGTCCCTGGATGTTAGTGTAATGTTTCAAAGAACAGTTTTTCTCCCAATATTCCTGCGCCCCCGCCCCAGATGCGACGCATCTCCCAAATGGGAAAATATAAAACACCAATGTCCTCACTGCTGCTTCTAAATACTGTGAGCCAATAAGCAATTGGTGTAGAGTGCAAAATCTCGGAAGAGAAAGACTTCTTGTCTGCTTTTTTTGGTAATATGCTATTATGCATACTTCACCTTTACTTCCTTTAAAAATCAAAAGTTGCTTAATGTTCAAAGCGTATCAATGGAAATTTAGCTAAACACTGGCACAGTAACGGCTCATTCCCAAAGGAATATAAGATTACATTAATTTCCTACTAGTTTAACTCAAGTTTTACCTTTCATCTTCACCCACAGACTTTTTAAAAGTTTGTATTTCTGTTGCACAGAAAATTACTTACAATATGCGTGAATACTAAAGAATTTTACAATTATATAAAGCATTGCACATTTAGACGCTACCAACCTGCTCTATCTCTCCTGACTGTGCAAAAGGAAAAAAGAGCTCAGTAATCCTAGCAGAAGAATGCAAATAACGTCAATGCACAGCTGAACTGCAAGCCCTGCCTTACAGGAACTCTCTGTGTCTGCAAAACACACACACACACACACACACACACACACACACACACACTAAACAGGAAATGCAACTGAGCTGTGGAAAACCTCAAACTTAAACATGCAATCGCTAGGCGAAAATTGCATCCATGCATTCATAAATGCATGCACAACCCTTTGCATTTTTGCAATTAATGCAAATAGGCTCTTACCTTTCGACTGAGACATTTTCCCCTTTCCTTTGATGGGGGAGGGGAGCACAAAAGACTTTGCCTTGCTTCTCTTCTGTAGCTAGTTTTGCAACAAAGATGCAAGCTGCAGGCGTGCAATCTTCATGCAAGTGGAGTTTCTCTTGACCGATGCAGCAGATGGACTTTCAGGGAATCCAGATGGAAATGCACACCTTGCAAAACAGACTGGAAAGTGATTTTTCCCCCAGTTGCAACGTTAGGGAAGGCTGTGCTGCAGCTACATGATGGGCCAGGGCTGGCAGCTAAAAGCTCCAAACTTGGAACTGAGTATCTTGTGCGCAGACGTCCTTCCTGCGAAGGGCGCGGGGGCCGCTGGGTAATGTAGTTCACAAGCAGAGTCCACGGGGCTCTGATTTAAGGAAACGTGGTTGCGCCGGTCGCTGAGCGAGGTGACTGGGTGCGACCAAGATTGCGCCCAGATAAGTCTGACATGCACTCGGTAGTAAGTGGTGGACGAGAAACGGACAAGGCCAAGGGGAGGGGGCATTTTTGTTATCGAAAAGCTCCTGAAACAACAGCTGAAGAACCTTATGTAGGCTAAACGTTTTTGGCTCGCTCAGAGGGTCCGTTTGGGTGTTTAGTATTTGCAGGGAGCACCTGTTGTTCTCTTCCTGCCTGTAGGTGTTTCATGCTCACATCTCCATTTTAAAAAACATTTTTCTCGCGTGGAGAATTTGTTGATGACTTGGCTGGCTAGAGGTAAGGTTCCTTTTGCAATTGCAGAGAAGATGCAACGTTTTATTTAGTAAGAAATGATCCAGATCCGTTATTTTAAAGTAAACTGAAATTCAGTAGTAGGGGCATTGCGGGGTGGGTTAGAGAGTTCTCATTTCTGGAAGGACTAAAGAGGAAGTTCTGCTTTTTATATATCATGGCTAATTTGATCAAAGTTAAAATATTTAGATGCTTTTTCTTACCTGGGGGGAGGAAAGTCCCTGGCCTAAGGGAAAAAGTGGGTGGTAATCTGAAATTAACAATGTCAAATGTTTGGTTTGTTGAATTTCTTCAACAAAATTAACAGGCATTTGTTGAGCTCCTGAGATGTGCCAGGCACCTTTCTAGGGCCTGGGTCATTCATCCATTTGTCACTATTGGTCATGGGTGGGGTATAAGTAGCCACATGGTGGAGGACAGAGGTGCATAGCGTTGGAACGGAGGGAGTGAGGTGGAGGCCCAGGCTGAAATGAGCTCAGACTCCTACTTCATGGAGTAGGACCAGACTCAGAAATGTGCTTTTACGGTAGAGAGGGAAGAATTGAGGATTTCGGGGTTCTTCAGATTGAGCCAAGCACAGCGGAGGAATGAGGACAGCCTATTCAGAGAACACTGAGGATAGCGTATTTGCCTGGTATACAGAAGTGGTGGGGGTGGGTGGAATTCATGGGCGTGGACTCTACCAGGCCTTAAAGGCAGGCAAGAGGTTTGGACTTCATTCTGCAAGTATCTGAAAGATGGTGAGAGGGTTTTTGAAAAGAGGCATAGCTTAATCAAAGCTATGTTTTAAGAAGGTAAATTTGCCCTCTGCGATCAAGGTGGGTTGAAACCGGGAGAGGCAAGAGATAGGTCAGGGCAGTAGTGAAATGCAAAATGAGGCCCTTTTAAAGAAGGTTCAACTAGATTTGATGACGGCTAATGAAAAACCATTGGAATTTTATGAAGAATTTTAGGACGCTGGGGCCTTCTGAGTGATGGAATAATCAGAGGAAGAAGGCCACCATGTTTCAGCTTCAAATCAGCTCCTAAAACAAATATGTGACAGGGCATGGAACTAACATTCATTTACCTGAGTTGATCCCCTCTGTTGACATAATTATGAATGAATGGACATGATTGTGAGTTAATCAAGGGCACCTCACGTTCCTAGTTACTGCCTCTGCTAAGAGGGAGGGGTTTCTGTCCCACGAACATAGATGCAGGGACTTACTAGCTCACTTCACTGCCCTGGACAAATGTATGCTGCCTGTCTCTTCCTTGCTTTCTTGCAAGCCCGTTCTCAGCTCCTCAGTGAACCAGCAATTTTTTTCTGTCTCATTTATTACCAGGAGGCATGTGTGTATGGAGATCCATTGCAGTGCATCTACTTCACTTTTCCAAACATTGAGGGAGCGCCTGCTCTGTGGCCGGCCCTAGGAGAGCAAGTAGAATTGCTTAGCCCAGGCAGGGCCTGAACAGCCGCCTAGAGCTCACTTCAGTTTGCATTTTTACATGGTCAGCAGCATTGCTTTTAAAATACCCCAGATTCCCTTCTTTATGGAAGAGTCGTAATCACAATGTGTCTGGTGCATTTTACTGCTGTCATTGGTGCTTGTACATTCTCTGCATAGGCATGCAGAGATCATAGTGGCAAATGGATTGTGTTCTGAAAGTCAATCAGGAATTTGTATTCCCACAGAAACAATGATAAGTTCAACAGCCAATGCACAAATACACCCATGCATGCAAAACACCTTTGACCCATATATTACCTGAACCCTATATTTAAAAATAGCAAGATTTATCATTTTTCTTTCTGGGAAATATGCAGGGGTGGGCCAAAGTAGGTTTACAGTGGTTCCTATGGAAAATAATACAATAATTAAGGCATAATGCTACTAGAATAAACTTAGTTTTGCATACGCACAACTGTAAACCTACTTCGGCCCACCCCTGTATTTTGCGCAGGGGCCATGCTAATTTTCTATATATCGTTCCAATTTTAGTATATGTGCGGCCGAAGCAAGCACCAACCCCTGTATTTTGAATTTCCTTCTGGAAATCATCCTCTCTGTGAAGTCTCAGACTCCAGAGGAAAAGGTCTCCCCTGCCCACATTCCTGGCTGGAGGAAAGGGCTGTCCTACTGTATGGTTATGGATTCGTGGGAATTTCCTCTTTTTACCAGTTTGTGGCAATGCTCCTAGGACCAGAATGTCTCCCACACTGGGACTCGAGAGTGAAACCTGGCGTGATTATTCTTTTGCTGGACAGTACGTCAGATGCTTCTCTTGAGGTGGCTTGTCTCCTACTTCACATCCTCCATATTTGTAATTTTCTGTATTTCAGATCTTTCAAAAATGCAAGCTGTGTGCACTCTGCCCTGGCATCTAGCTACCTTCAAGATCAGTTCCAAGTCCTCTGCATGGTATAATTGGCTCCTCAAGACCTGGCCCCTGCTTGCTCTCCAGCTTCACTTCTCACCCTCTGTCGACACACTACTCCCGCTGCCTGGCAAGCCTTTTTTTTTTTTCTCTACCTAGCCCATCCTGATGTATCCCTGAAGACACGGCTTAGCTGGCACTTTCTTTCAGCCACCTTCTGTGATACATTACCCTATGAGCACCTTCAGTGTGAATGAAATACATCCCCTAATAGCGTAGTATTCTGCACACACCTTTCCCCTAACACTCATCATAAGGCTAATAGGTGTTCATTTACATATTTGTCTCCCACAGAAGACTGGGCTCATAAAGATCAGAGACTTGTGTGCCCACTGTCCAGTATCTAGCATATAATAGGCACTCAAATGCATGCTGCAATAATGAATAGAGTAGATGAGGGCAGGACCTATGACCACAGCTAATCCAGAAAAACTAGATTCCAACTGCAAGAGAAACTTGGACACCTGGGGAAAAGCCCTCTGCTGTCAGATTAGAGGTATTTGATTCTTGGAATGAGGCCCTTAGGTTAGGTCAGACTGTCTATGAAGGAATTATTCTAGAGGTATATGTGGAGCAGGGAAGGTATTGCAGGTAGAGTGTCACAACCGGCGATGATTGTACTCCCCTCCCCCAGGGTTCATTTGGCAATGTCTGGAAACTTTTTGGTTGTCACAACCAAGGGGGTGGGATGTTGATGCTGACATCTAGTGGGTAGAGATCAGTGATGCCGGCAATCATGCTACAATGCACGTGAAGCCCCCACAACAAAGAATTACCTGGTCCAAAGTTAGTAGGGCTGACCTTGAGAAACCCTGCTGCAGAGTGATATTATGACAAATTACTGGTATTCTATTTTTACATTAATTTAAAGCTAATGAGACTTGGTAAGATGTAACTTTTGCTGTGAGAAAAACACTGGGATCTAGGAGATGTGTCTTCTAGTCCTGGCTGTAGAAAAAGTCAGCTGCGTCTCCCTAGGCAAGTCACTTCACCTTTCAGGACCTGTTTTTGATCCACTAAAATAAGGAGGGTCGGACGAAGGCTTCTTCCAGTTCTAACATTCCGCAGCTCGAAGCACAGATCTGTCTGATTAAAACCACCAATGATTTAAAGAGGGGTAAAGAGTTGGGATCGCACATTCTATTTTTTTGCATTGCCTAAATATCCTTCTGTTTAGGAATCAGAAGGGTTCCCGATGCCAGGTTCTGGTAAAACAACCAGTGATCATCGTGCTGATATCACTCAAGAAATGAAGCAAGAAATATTTGTGTTACGGTTTGCAGTATTGCCTCCCAGGTAGCAGCACTCACCTGCACACGACATTGATGTCTTACAACCATGTCTACTAGGTGTCGGCAACATGGGAGAAGAAGGTGCCAGAGTTAAAACTAAGAATGCCAGTCTGAGTGTCTACTTTTTTCAATTCTAGAAAGTCATGGTATGAATAGGCATGTTACAATAGTGAAGTATGCCAGGAGAGGTATCCGGGAGACCGGTTTAAGGGACTGAAGGGTGAGTTGGAGTTGTCCAATATCTTTAAGTACAGGTTTTCCTTTAACTGCATTAAAATACATCACGATGAATCACACTTGTTGGCAGGAATTTTTAAAATCCCGAAATATTAAATCTAGCTCAGCTTCCAGGACCCTTCCCAATATGGTACAACTGTACCTCTTCACTCACCTGCTCTGAGTTTCCTTTGTTTAAGCAATCTGCTCAAAACGGGATTACTTATCTTACCCGAGGTATGAATTTGCAAGTCAGGACTCTGCATGTTAACTGATGCTACTCTGTCTTCACCTCCTCTGCCCCCCTCCTCGGTCTTCGTTTTTCTAATCTCTTCCATGAAGTGGTGCTTGATCATATCCCTCTTTTTTAGAATAGAGCCTCCTTCCCTTTAAATACTGATGGCATTTGTTAGCTATTATGGCCCCATGTCTAATATTACCTTGCGGTAATATTATTTGAGTACAAATATGACATCTTATTTCTCTCCTATTCCTAATAGTGCCTTGGGCAGACCCACTTGCTTGTCTGGATTTGTCCCTTGAGTCTGAACTTGGACAGAGGTGATTTCATCTTTATCATGTAGCCCAGGCCTAGCATGTGTCAT